TGGGAAGAACGGCCGCATTGTGGGGCTGCGATGGCAGCTTTGTGCCAAGGTGTGAAAGCCGAGCTGGCTCCCCGGGACAGAGGGCTTTGATCRCCCTGCTGCCGGGTTTTAGTGTCCTCTAGTGTCCTTGGATCCCATAAATGACAGAAACCAGGATGCTGCCCACCCCTGACCTTTCCAGCAGACGCTGCTGCCCCTTTCCAGGATGAAGTGCCGATGATGCCGCTGCCGGGGGAGAGCAGCCGGAGGCAGCGAGGGTGTGAACAGCACAGGATGAGATCACCTGCCAACAGCAGGAGAGAAACTTCATCCTCCTTTGCTGTGAACCTGGAGCAGCCTTTAGGACACGAACTGCATGATCCTGGAAAGAGTTTCTGGCCTGGGAAATCCTCAAATTTCCTCCTCTTTTATTTTTTCCTCCCGCCTTCCCAGGGATGTCTAGACTAARGAGCAGCATTTCTCTTGTGAACAGCACTGAGAATTGCTGGAAGGGCATGGAAGGATTTTCCTCCTGCCATCCTGGTAGCATCCTGTTCAGGCTGTGAAATCCCTGTTTGAGCCAACATCCTCCTCCAGTGGCCCCTGCCTGTCCCTAAGGGAAGGTGGTGATGGTGTGCAGGTCCCATCTCCATCCTGCAAGTGGKAAGGGACAGGATGTCTGTGTTTGCTGTGCCATCCCTGGATGTGGGATGGAGCCTGTCTGCTGGCGTGGCCCAGCCTGATTCCACTCTTCCTTCTTTCCTTCTGCATTGAGAAGAACAAAAAAAGCAAACAAAGACTGGGGAAATCAKTGCAAAACCCCAAATGAACCAAAGTCCTGACTTCCAGATCATCTCCTTTATCTGCAGCATGTCTCTGTCCAGCCTACATGTTCACCTGTGGCTGTTTTTTTATCTCTCTGTATTTCCTCTTTATTTTTTTTCAGAAACAAAGATGTACATCCTGGACTCAGTGAGCCAGATTTTSCTATCCCTGTCATCCATGCAGAAGGCCAGATATTCACAGATAAGCACCCAAGACATGCCCTTTCCAGTATCCCATCTGCAAACACCAGCCCCGTGGTGTGTGCTGAGTCCTGCAAATGCTGCTCTGGAAGCTTCCTTCATGTCCTATCACTTTCCTCTCCTGGGATATCAACAGAAAACCCATAGTCAGAAATAACTTAATGCTTCTCCCTCAGTCAGCGAGGTCTAACAGAGGACAAAGGAAGTGTTCTTCTCTATTCTGTTGCAGAGAGTCTCAGCTATAAAATGGGGCCAAATGGCCTCCYCCTGAGCACAAATAACAACAGGAGAAAGATCCATATGCAATCGAGTGTAGGATAAATGTGCTTAGCTGATCGTTCGTTTCCCTAATATTTTTTTTATGAATAGGCTTAGCTTATGGTAAGATGGGACTTTATGGTCCTGTAAGTCTTGCTCGTGTCAAAACAAATGAACTAGCCATCCTAGGGGGGAACTATCAATCCAATATATGTGTGTGCATGGGTGTGGGGAATCAGACCTATTATACCTTTAAGAGCAAATTAGATGCTGTTCCTATGATTCATAAAGCTATATATCTAATGGCATGACTCGTCATCTAGAAAATAAACGTTTCGAGCCAGTTTCTCATCTCATAAATTTCCCCTCTGGCACCGAAGGACATAAACTAAATGGGCTGACTCACAGGGAAACAATACAATTTGGATACTTTTAAATGAAAGATAAAATTGCCTTAGGGCACAGAGGGGTGTTGGGGTCCCAGGGAGTGGTTGGCAAGTGCAGGACGGTGCATTGGGGGCCACTGCCATTCCCAGCAGATCAATCTCCTCCTGGAAAGGCCCTCCTTGATTCCTTCTTGGGCCTGTGAAAACATGACCACCATGATGAAGCACCAGAATGGAAGTGGTCATGCTGGAGGGTGTTGGCTGCACGTTTCTGAGCGTGGCAGGGTTGGACAGGAGATGTGAAGAGCCCAGCCCAAGGCAGGAGGGGAAGATGGTCCGCAGCACCACAGACTAGGGAGGTCCCTGTGCATTTATTGCCTCCTGAAGGTCTCCCAAAGGCTGCAGTTTCCTGTGGGATGGATATCAGCACCTTCACTGCATCCCTGTCCATTGTTCTTGGTCTTCCTGTGCCACTGGGCTCCTTGTTTGGGTGGCAGCTGGGAACCACAGGTTTGAAATCCCACAGGAGAGCAAGAGAACTCACAGAATGACAAAATCATTTAGGTTGGAAAAGACCTCTAGGATCAAGTCCAGCCTGTGACCAGTCTCCACTTTGTCACTCAGCCCTGAGTGCCACGTCCAGTTGTTCCTTGGACACCTCCAGGGATGAGGACTTCAGCAACTCCCTGGGCAGGCCCTTCCAAGGCCTGACCACCCTTTCAGTGAAGAAATTCCTCCTGATGTCCAACCTGAGCCTCCCCTGATGCAACTTGAGGCTGTTTTCTCTTGTCTTGTCCTTTGTTCCCTGGAGCAGAGCCCGACCCCCCCGGCTGTCCCCTCCTGTCAGGGAGTTGTGCAGAGCCACAAGGTCCCCCCTGATCCCCCTTTGTTCCAGGCTGAGCCTCCCCAGCTCCCCCTCCTCAAATGATCTGCTCTCCACCCATTTCCCCAGCTCTGTTCCCTCCTCTGGACACGCTCCAGCCCCTCAGTGTCCTACTTGTCATGAAGGGCCCAGAACTGGGCACAGCACCCAAGGTGCAGCCTCACCAGTGCCCAGCAGAGAGGGACAAGGCAGGGACAAGGCAGGGACAAGCCCTGGCTGCCGTGCCCCCAGCCTGGCCTGGCCATGAGTCAGGGCGGAGGCAGGAGCCGGTAACCCGGTTATGGGGTGGAGGTGTGCTCACCACGAGAGCAGCATCCATCCCCTAACCTCGTTTGTGTGAAGGGTGACACAAGGCAGATGGCAGCYGGGTACCTGCAGGATCTGATTAAAACCTACGCCAGGCTGGGCAGGCAGAGCAGAGGGGATTGCTCATCCAGCTCGTGCTGGATGGAAAAGGAAGGCAAGGAATTGACTGCTGGATTTGCCAAAGGGCGTGGATGGGGTTTCTTCCCTGGGTTAGGATGTGCAGGGTTAGGGGCAGGGAGAGGGGCTGTGCAGAGTGACAGGGGCTGGGSACAGTGGAGCAGTGGCATCGTGTGGCAGTGCAGCTGTTCCCGGGATCACCCACATCTGTCTCCRCCCGCAGCGCCTGTCTGTGCGCTCAGGCACCCTCAGCACTGGTAYTTATCTTGCCTCCTAGGGAGAGCACATGCTTCCCCATCCATCTGCACACATCCTTTGCTGCTGCTCTCCTGCACGGACCCGCTGCTCGCTGCAGACGTGTGTCTGCATCCATTTATCCAGGTGTCAGATCAGCTCCTCTCTTCATCCCTCTCTCCAATTACTTTGGATGCCCTTTCCAGCCCAGCACTTCAATTACATTCTGAAGAACAGAGTAAAATAACGTCACATATTCTCTCTTTTCAYGTGTTAGTTTCCTTCCTTAGGCTTTTCTTTGGGGTTTTTTTCTTCCATTTTTCCCATTTTTTTTTTTTTTTTTCCATCTGGAACAGACCTATTTTGTAAATGCCTGGAAGCTGAAAATTCTGCAGATGCAGGAGCTTTGAGGCGCCTCGTTAAAGGTGCTGGGGGTGTTTGGGGAGAGCGACAAAACCCCAGACAATGGGAGCCCTGACGTCAGGCTCTATTTATACCTCCTCTTTTCAGAAACCTCCCTGGAATGGTGCTTTTCCTAGAGTTTTCTGCTAAATGCTGCAGCCTGCGCTGTCCCTGTCCTCTCCAAAGGGCACAGTTTTATCTCCAGGCGTTCCCTGGCAGCACCGACCATATCACCAGGGCCAGGCTTCCGCAGGCAACTTTTCATGGGAGGAACRGTGCTGCCACAAAGCACGGCTGCTCCTTGTGGATGAGGATTTGTGAAGGTGTTCCAGCTCCAAAATGTGCCTTTTGAAAGGTCAAAAGTGTTACAGAGCTTTGTTTTAATGGCTGTTTTTTTGGTGTTCTTATTATTCTAGCTGGGCGTTGTGGCTTCGCAGGGTTGTGTTGGATGTTGGCTCTGTGTGTGTGTGCAGGAGAGGTGTTTATAGAGCTGAAAGTTTAATTACAGGTGAAGGGTGGTGGGACAAACTGCCATAAATCCATGTGGTCTGAACTACAGCGGAGTGTGGAGTGAGGAGTGCCCCATCCTGCAGTGGGGTCTGAGCACCCCGAGGTGCGGGATGAGCACTGAGGGGAGACAYTGAGGGGTCAGACCTGCAGGGATTTGGGAATTCTGACCACAGCTGTTATTCCAGAGACTCATTGGTATTATTAGAGCAGTCAGGATGGCTCCTGTGGACATCCTACAAATATTTTTCAGGTTTTATTTTGTCCTTCCAGATAACTGCTGTTTTGCTTGTGAGTTCCTTAGACAAGTGAATAGCACAGCAGTTTCCTTGCAGGAGGGCAYTTTGTGTGAATAAAAAACCTGTGAGAAGGATGGAAGTGGTCTGTGCTGTTGGGAATGTAGGAATTATTCTCAGGGGAACAGAAACAGCTGGGCAGAAGGGCAAGGGGAAGAGTGGAAGTTTCATGGTACCCAGCAGGAGTGTGTGTTCTGCCCAGTGTCACAAAGGGACTGTGGTTTGTCCTTCTYCAGGAAGCTCAGTCCTCCCCCACAGGAGATCCCCTCTGTAGGATCGTGTAGATGCTCCCCATCCCTACTCCAAAAACATTCAGGGGTGAACCAGCATCACTCAAAACACAGGAATTAATCCCAGCAAGGTGAAGGGCCATGCCCAGGGCCATGCAGACAGGCCATGGCAAAGCTGGGGATGACACATCCCATCCCATCCCATCCCATCCCATCCCATCCCATCCCATCCCATCCCATCCCATCCCATCCCATCCCAATTTCCCATCCCAGGGCTCTGCACTCTCCCCACCGATGCTCAGCACCGCAGCCGAGCCGCTGGCCAGATTTCACCGAGTCTGTAGCACACGTGTTCATGCTCTTTGTTCTCACGTCAGGCCTTCAAGGGAGCCCTGATGAGCTCATACTGGTGCTCGGGGAAAGGCGATGTTATCGAGGACTGGTGCAGGTGCGACCTCAACGCCTTCGATGAGAACGGCCTCCCGAACTGCAGCCCTCTCCCTCCGCCTGTGTACGTATCCCTGTGCCCCTCCACGGGTCACCAGCCCCTTTCTCGTGGGTCACAGCCCCCCAGAACCACCCCATTTCCCAGGGGTACCTCCTTCTGCACCCTCAGGCCTTGGGGCTACAGCCCAACCCTCCTCACAATGTGACTGATGCCTTCAGGATATCCTGGCTCCAGCTGTGGCCCTGGAAGGTTTCCTTATAGATTTTCATCACCTGATTAGCAGGGCTTGTAGAATGGGATTTCAAATGCTGAAAGAAATGGAATTACAGTGCAATTCATTGTGGCTTGTCAGAGCATGAGCAAATCAGGAGCAAACTGATGGGGAATTAGCTGAGAAAGCAGGAAGACTGGCTCCAGCGAGCCACAAGGAGCAGAACACCTTCTTAGCGAGCCAATATCCTCGAAGGGGATTCATTTCCCATCCTGAGTCCAACAAACATGCTGTGTGTTTGGAGCCAGACTCTCCATAGCCCCGTTCTCAGTGTTGTCATCTGCCCCGGTGCAGGGGGAGCGGACACCCCTGTGTGAGCACGGCCAGGAGCACAGAGCTCCTCTGCCTTCATCCCACATCGTTCCTGCTCTGGGCAGGAGCTCCTGCACAGCTGCCCCGCTCTGGCTCTCCCCCACACCCCCCAGAGGTTTGCAGCTGGGTGAATTCACACCACATCTGCCCCTTCCTTCTCCCCCTCCCGCCCTCCCTCACCTCTGCTCGCTGGTGATGCATCCTGACCCTCCCCTCCCGCGGGCTCAGCCCCGCTGGGTTTCAAGGAACTGGAGCCTCTCCTGTTTTACTCCTGGGGTGCTGATCCTTGCTTCCCTTGCTGAAGTTCAGCAGCTCTCCCAGACAATTAAAGCCCCTTTRGATGAGGTATTTGGGGTTACCTGAGCTTGCCTTTTCCCTTGGTAGGCTCCTAAGGGCGCACATTGAGTAGGCTGTGCTCAACCGACCTCAGCTAGAGGTTCYTTGACATTCCCCAGCCTGCTCTGCCCTGGTGCCATCTGTCCTTTGGGGTCTGTGGGTACATTCCTGTGCTGCCTGGAGATGAGAATTCCTCCCCTCTTACTCATTTCCTTTCCTGTCTCCCACCCAGCCTGCGGCTGTCCCCCAACGTGGAGCCCTCCAGCACGGTGGTGTCTCTGGAGTGGCTGGATGTGCAGCCTGCCATCGGGACCAAGGTGTCTGACTACGTCCTGCAGCACAAGAAGGTGGATGAGTACACGGACACAGACCTGTACACAGGTGGGTGTGAGGGAGAGCAGCCTCCTCGTGGTGCAGAGGGTTCCTGGCAATGCTCCTTGTGCCCTGAGAGGTGCTGCTTTGGTGGAGAATGGTGCTCAGAGCCAAGGTGTTACATCAGGTATCAARCCCACCCCATTTAGGAGAGGTTTCTGCAGACTTGGGTATTTGAGGGGAAAGGGAATTACAAAAGCACAGTGAGGCAAAAGGAAATGATTTGCCATTTTTGGGCAGAAGAGCTGTGRGATGAAGTTTCTGAAGGGGTGTTGATTTGATCAAGCTGAAATGCCTCAGGATGGTGGATATAGGGGGAAAGTGATCCCTSCACAGCTCAAGGGCTTTGCTGGTCTGTTCCAGAGTGACCAGTGACCCTCTTTGAAAGGACGTTTTCAATTGTCTTGCACACCTATCAAAGGCACTCAAAACCTGCAATATTTAGGGAGTTCATTTAAAGCACACAAAACATTGCAATATATAGGGACATCATCTAAAGAGCACAAAACTTCTCCAGGGGAATCTGAAACTTCCCTGTGCTGGACTTTAATTCCCAGGCTTGTAGTGAGTGCTCTGAGCCTTGYAAAGGCTTTGTCAGCAGTTCAATCCATGCTCCAAGAGCTGCTGGACAAGGCGGAGGGCTGTGAAGGATGGGACTTGATTCGGGTGAGTCAATGATGGATTTCAGAAAATAGTACTTGAGACCTTGAGTGATGGCAATGCTGCAGGGAAAGCCAGGCAGAACCTACTGCTTTTTGCTGGAGGATTTTGGTTGTAGTTTGTTGAAGAAGTTGTCAGGGGCAGCTGGTGCTGTTGGCCAGAGCAGAGTTTTACCTGGGGCAGGGCTGGTGTTGGAGGGGAGAACCTCAATGTCCACATGCACAGGCTCCTAGGGCATCCTTTCAAGATGTTTGGCTTTGTTTCCCACCTGGGAAGGCAGGCTCAGGGTGGTCATTTCCACCCTTTCTGTTCACCTCAGGCCCACCTGTTCTGTTTCTGCAGCACAGATACCACTATATCCAAAAATCGTGTGCTGCAAGAGCTGGCCTGCCTCTGCTGGAGAGAGCCAGATCCCCACATCCTGAGGGGGCCCAGCTGCTTGTGGAGAYCCCTGCAAGAAGGAGCTCTGGTTCCTGGCTCATACACCACTCCCATCCCACAGGRCCTTTCTGCTAAAACCTGCCAGCATCCCCTCCCAGCACTGCCCGATGTGGCCGTGGCCCCTGGGTTTTGTTTCTGGTTTCACGGCATGGAAGGATGTTTGTTCTTTATCTTGGAGGGGCACCTTGCASTAATGGAGAAAGAAAACGAGCCACCAAAGGAGGGGCTTTGTTTTGGATGGGGATTCCAGATTGCTCACACATCGGTCAGGTGAGGCCAGACCAGGGAAATGTGGGGCTTCTCCTTTGAAGTGGCTGGATCTTTGCCTGGCTGCCAGAGTAGGAAATACATATTTATTATTATTTTTATTATTATTATTTTATTTTATTTTCATTTTATGACTGCCATGTGTTTGAATTCATTGTGGGGAGTGTCCCTCCCTGCTCTGGGGGACTGTTTGGGACAGAATGACCCTATTAACAATTAAAGAGRAAAAACAATCCTAAATYYCTCCCYTTTTAATTWTTTTTCTGTGTTGTTTATAACCAAACAACATTCCTGCCTTCATTCCTTTCTTACCATCCAGGCCTCTAATGCCAGATGACTTGATTCCTGCAAATACCTTGCTTAGGTTTGCAAAGATGCTGACTGCTACAGCTCTCCACAGCCAAAAATCCTGCCCTGGGTATCCCCTGACCACCAGCACCCACCCATCCTGCTGCAGGACAGCTCCTCCCATCAGAGCAAAAACAATAACTCAGCCCTGGAGGGGAAATCTTTATGAGAGGGGGTTTGGGATGTGAAATTTGGATGGCTTTTGGTGAATATGGGCAGATCTTCCTTTCCCATCAGTCTCCCAGCTGCTGGCAGGGAGKAGCAGGTTGTTCCCATTTCTGGGASGTGTGTCACAGGYATTTGCAGAGCAGGGCAGCTCTGGGCTGGGAGGATCTGGCAAGGCTGTGGGGCTCTTGATGCTGCTGCCACTCATCCCTTGGAACACTTGAGTTTCAATGAGTGGGTTATTTGTGTTGGACAGTGGTTTTGTTGTAGCCATTTCTTATTGGGATTCCTKGCACCGGCAGGGCCTAGAGCTCTGCCAACCTGTTCTTCATCCCTGTGGCAAACTGGATGGTACCTGGTCCCAGCTTCACCTGCTTTCTGCTTTCCTTCTGCCTCTCAAAAGCCTCCAGTCACTCACCCTTACAACACTCCTTGGCCTCCCCCTTGCTCTGCAACTGGAAGATGTAACCTTTCCCTTGAGCCAGGAAACGTTCGTTCCTCTTCCTCTTGGAGCAGAGTCAGGAGGGAGTTTTGGGATTGGTCTAATGTGGTTCCCTCTGCTCCCTGCCGGGCTCCCCGTGGGACAGGGATGCTGTGGGACAGCATGGAGAGAGCCAGGAGCCTGTAGGAGGCTTTTTAAAAGGCTTGTTACTGGTGCTTAGGAAAACACAGCAGAGAGGAGGTGAACTCGTGTGTGAAACAAACCACGCTTTCAACACCAGCGCGCGGGGAGCGAGCGGCTCKGCGCTCGGGAGCCAGCCGGGAGGACGGAGAGCAATTACACGGCGAGCTGTTTATTAAAACTTGTGGAAATTACTCATAACTCCATGCACACCACGGCTTTGTAGTTGAGTGTGGGGCTCTYGGAGAGGGCGCGAGTGTGAGCGGGTGAGTGTGAGTCCGTGTGCGTGTGCGCGGCCGAGCCCGCCAGCGCATGATGTCATGGGCCAGGCAGGCGCTGCGCTCGAGAGAGGGACAGGGAGAAATGTGTTTTACAGGGTGAGGTACAAACCCGAATGGCTGTGAACATCTGGAACTGATATTAGGCTYGGAAAATGTTTTCTGTCACTCCGACGCTCCTCCGGAGGAAGGTTTTSTGAAGTTAAGAAGCTCCGAAGGGGATGAGGGGGAGGGATGAGGGGATCGCAGGGCTGTGGCTCAAAGTGCTTTTCATGTCTCTGTTCTCGAAGCTGGGCCGTGTCCCTGCATGTGCCAGATGTGGCACCTGGGGTGTCACCGCTGCTCATTGTTGTGGCCCTGGCTTGGGAGGTCCCCTGGAGCAGCTGAGCCCCCCTTGAGYCAGCCCTGCATGGGGGTGCAGCATCTTCCAGCCTGTGCTGGAACACAGAAGGATCCTTGACCTGGTTTTAGGGTTGGGAGCYGAGGAGCTGAGCTGGGAGGCCTTGTGAGAAAGCAGAAGGGTGAAATCCTCAGGAGAGATCAGGCAGTCCTGTGCCTGGTTTAACCCCACCTGAGCCAGCTCTGGGGCCCACCTGGGAGGTCAGACCCACCTGGATCTGGGGAGGCTGCTGTGAGCTTGCATAATGCAAGGTTTAGCAGTGAAAAAGCACTTTGAATGTGTTTTTAGAACATTTTGGGGGGTGGCTGGGGGAGGATGAGCGGCTGGGCTTGGCTGTGTGATGGATTGGGGTCTGTGGGCTGGGTTGCATCGTTCCAGGTGGGGTGGCTTTGTTGCTGCTGTGATGTTTTGTGGCTCTGAGAGCTCYTCAGTCCCTTTCTCAAAGTTCTCTCCCTGGTGCAGTTTTCTTCCCACCCCAGCCACATCTCTGTTGCTGCTGGGTCTCTGAACACACATTTTTGGGGGGAGTGGAGGGGCTGCCATGTGCCTACACAGGGCATGGTGAGGAGGCTGGGGACGGGGTGGTTTGAGGRCATCTCAGAGAACTTTGCTGGTGGAGAGTCAGACCTTGCACACTCTGAGATAGGAGTGGATTCTCCCTTAGTGATGCAGAGAGCAAAGCATCACTTGCTGTCCCCGTGGTTGAGGGTGTCAGTGAATGTGAGTGAAGAGTTTTCCTGATGTGCTGCTGGCTCTGTGCTGCTGGGGGCAGATCACAGAAGGATTGGGATGTTCTGCCCCTCTCCCAGCCCTCCTGTCCTGCTCTGTGTAGGCTCTCCCACCCTGTCTCCCCCCTTTTTCTGTGGTATTTCATAGCTCTCTGTGTGCTGATGGCTGACCCATGGTAGCTGGGACATGGTGGGGGATTGGCTGAACAAAGTGTACCACAGACATGTGCACAGCTCACCTGCACGGGTGGTTTGGGATGCCATGTCCCAGCAGGACAGACCAGGGCTCAGCAGAGACCCCCAGACTTTATTAACTCTGATGGCATCAAGAGATCCTGGCTGCTCTGGGGTCTTTTTTTGCCAGGGCAGTGACCATGTTGGACCCTCATCCAGAACAGTTTGTAATCCTCAAAGAAAGGAGGAGAGCAGGAGCACAGCCTGCAGAGTGAGCSTGCTRGACACCTCAGAGCAGGAGAATGCRGAGYCTGGCAGCTTGCTCAGAGCCTCTGCTGTACTGGAACCCTGATACCCAGCCCTGTGGGGTGGAGGAGATCCAGCAGGTAACCTGTGAGGCTGGCTGGACAGCAGACCAGGCAGGGAGATGTGCAGGATGGAGGGTTACACAAAACCTGTGCACATCACTGCGCTGGCACTGCACTGCTCTGGAGCAGATCTCTCTGCTAAGGAGCCTTTGCACAGATCCTGTCTGCAAAGAAAGCCAAAGAGGTCAACCCAGAAGGCTGAGTGTTTGGTACACTTACAGGCTGCTCTGAGTTGAGGCTGGGGAGTGCCTTATTTATAACTGCGGTGTGGAGCGCGGGTGTGACGAGTCTGGATGGCTGGGGATGTGTGGATATAKCTATGGCAACCAGCCCCTCAGACACCCTCTTGTGTGCAAGCTGTGCTGCTGCTGCTGTGTGAAAACCAGGGTAGGCTGGGAGGAGAGGAGGAGAAACTGCCTGGCCAGAGCAAATGCTGCTCCTGTCAGAGAAGAGTCACTGCAATCTCTGTGCAAGCAYACTGTACTTCTATTACAAGCCTTAAAATCACCTTTAAGAGGCCTGGCTGACAARCTGGGCACCACAGAGAGCAGCAGTGGG